TGTTGGTCTTATGGAAAAAACAGCAGCAGACCAAGCAAGTGCAACGAGTAATGGAATAGTTAATTTAAAAGGAGTATATGGATGTGGAATGTCAGAAAATGATGTTGTTATGAATGGTCAAGTAACTCATTATAAGTTTGTTTTCATTTTTTAAGACTGTTTTTTCTAATTAAAAATAATATTAAATAAAATAGAAGACCAGCATTACAATCAGGAGATTTTGTTGAATTTAAATATACTAAAGACCGTATTTTCTTTAAAATAGCAAAAGACTGGGATTTGTTGTATGTTGTTGGAGAAGGGAAAGAATTTGTTTTTGTATGTGAGATATGTCATCTTTATTCTCGAGTTGAAATTATTGAGTCTACAAAACTAGAACTACCTCAATCTGACCCACCAAACAATCAGCAATGAAATACTCATTGTCTATAAAAAAGTTAATTTATTTTTTATAATCCTAGTTTAGGTTTATTAAATTTATAATAAAATTAAAAATATCAATTAAAAAAGAAAAACCAACTTAAAAAACTGAGAAAGAGTAAAATGCAACAACAGAAAAGTAATGATGAACTTCTTAATGATTCTGCCCAAAGAGTTGTTGAAGATATTTCTAAATTAATGAACAATGAACTAAACATGGCTAGACAAGATTTTAAATTTTATACTGCTGTTAATAACGAAGCAAGTAAAAAAGTAGAAAAAATATCAGATATTGTTGCCAGTAATTCTAAGAGTGTAGAATTGATTGAACAAAGCTGTTTGTTACTACGTAAATTAATAAACATTTAAATGAAAAATAGAATTTTAATAGACATGTAGATAATGAATTAGAAGAATACAGAAAATATGTAGATCAATTGGAGACAACTTTAGATGGTATTGAATTAACTGTGGGACAATTAGACGAACAAACAAAAATGATTGAAGCATCGTTCCGAGCAATTGAAAGAAAATTAGCTCAACAAGCATTAAAAAAGTAATAATAACTTCATTTTCTAATATTGAAATAGGTTTCAATTATTAATAAATCAATGAAGTAATGAAGAAGTAATGACGAATGTAATTAATAATTAGTTATCAATAACATTATTCATATATAATATTGTTTAACAAAACAATATGAAAGCAAACATTTATGAGTGTTTGTGAAATAAAATAGTTTTTTATCATATTTTTATATATTTTATTCTAACTCATTAATAAGTTTATTAAACTTATTATTCTTTTTGAGGTAATTCGTTTTAAACTTCTAATTAATAGAACAATAAAAACACTTATTTCATTCTTTTTCAAAAAGAGTTTTATTTTAATAAATTAACTTAAAGAATGAGTTTTAATAGTTATAACCAACTGACAAACTCAGTGGAGAGGAATAAAGTGGAGAAGAGAATAAAATGGAGAAGAGAATAAAATAAGGAATAACCCATTCTCAAAAAATAAATTTATTTTTAAATAATCTTCTAAATAATTATAAAAAACTAGAAAATTACTTGAAAAAACATATAGTTTAATATAGTTAGATTCTTCTTAATAAATAAGTCATACTCAAATAATTTATTACATTTTTGGTAAATAAAAATTATTTTATTTTATTATGAATTAAATATTATTTAATCTGCATTATTTAACAACAGTCTGTACTTATTTATTTTGATTTATTTATTTATTGGATTATTTCTTCAAGATGGTGCAATATTTTGTGGGTATAGAAAATCAAAAATAATGAAAAATGAAAGATTGAAATACTGCCCACTTTGTAAAGACAAGATAGCAACAGTAGAACACATTCTACTATCTTGTATTGGTCATAAAAATCACAAATGGAAAAACATGACCATATAGGCATTATAATATGGGAGGGATTAATAAGAAAATATACAGGAAATAAACAATATAAAAAACATCCATATGAAACAGTGTTACAGTATAAAGACATCACAATGATATGGAACAAACAAATAATGCATAAAAGTGATGGACAATATCATAAAATACCAGACATATATGTATTAGATAAAAAGAATAAAACTAGTCTATTATTTGATATGAATATTGTTGCTGATCACAATATTAATTGAGAATACTGGAAGAAAAGAAATAAGTATAATGAATTAAAGAATATTCTAATGAAAATAGAAAAATTAAAAGATGTCAAAATAATTCCAGTAGTAATCTCAATAAATGGATTAATAAATAAAGAAAGTATTGGATTAATTAAAGAATTAAAAATTGACATTGACATCGAAAAAGAAATTAAAAACAATGGAATACAAAACATGATAGATGTTATGGAATACTGCTTCAATCACAATCAAATATAGTGAGTCAAAATACAAGAAGAAGAAGACGAAGGGACGGGATTAGTCTCCTCTAAGCCATTAACAATAGAAACTATTTCTATTAATACTTAATTAATTGCTTTTTATTTTGAAACTATACCAAAAATAGTTTTTCTTTTTTTAGGAATAGAAAAAAAAATCCAATAAAGTAAGAATTTTATCCAAAAAAAATTATTATAAAAGAATGTTACATTAGATTTTTTTCAAAAATGTAGATAAAGAATGTATTATTTTTATCTCCTTTGTCAAATAAATAAAAATTTACAAGAAGTTATTGCTCATTTTTTTCCTTATTACTTAAAATAAATTATATGGATTAGGGAGTATTACACTGAAATTGCCATGTTTTATGAGAAAGTGCCTTTAATAGAATTATTGTTAGTTTACAATACATAAAAAATAATAGAGTATATTAATATTAATTATATTTGACTATTCTTAGTTATTTATTTAGGTTTATTTATTGAAGAAAAAGAAGAATATGAGTTATAGACAAAATAATTTTTTAATAATTTCATGCACAACCCTTAGAAATGATAAAATATTCGTTATTACCAAATGAGTAAATAAATAACCTTCTAAAAATTTCTTTGCAGTTAGCATATAATCACAACTTATAATCATATATTTCATGATATTCTTTGTTATATTTTTTATAATAAACTTAGCATTAGCTGAGTTTGATATGAATAAAGATGACATTACTTTATTCAAAGAATTTATGTCAACATTTCAAAAAAGATATGAGACTCCATCTCAAAAGTTAACAAGGTTTGCATTGTTTAAGAAGAACTGTGCAAATATTAGAAAGTGGAATGCTGAAAGAACAAATGAAAGAGATGCTCATTTTGGTATTACTTCAAGAACAGATAAACTTCCCATGGAATATGGATTAAGTCGTAATCTGAATGATTTGGCAAGTAAAACAAAAGAAAATGATGTTATAATTGATGGAGGAGCATACCCACCAATACTACCAGAATCTGATGATTTACCAGAGTCGTTATCATACTGTGGTGATTATGTTGTAAATAATACTGACCACCCAAAAGTAAATTTGTGTTTAACACCATATGATCAAGGAAGTTGTGGTTCTTGTTATGCAGCATCAACAGCAAACCTTGGACAATATTTATATGCCAATTTATCATATTATTATAATGTAGGAAATCAATCTAATATTGTAATTAAAAACTTTACAGCCCAACGATGGATAGATCAAAAAAATAATTTTTACGTTAGAAGATGTTGTGGTGGAAATACTAAAATGATGTTATTAACTCAACCTACATTTTCTACAGAATATGAATATCCATATGTTGATATTCATACATCAGAAAATGATATAAATGGTTGTAGAAATAGAGGAGACCAAAACCCAAATGTTGCTATTCATTTAAGAACACAAAAAATTACTGTATTTGGAATGGATAATACTTACTCTCATTCACAAAAAGTAACTATTATTAAAAAGATTCTCCATCACTATGGACCAATTTCTGTTTCTATTTTAGTTGATGTAAATCAAACTAATAATGCTATTAAAATGGCTAACTATCAAGGAGGTATTTTCAAATTCCCAAGTACATGTAATATTAATAAAATGGGAATTGATCATCAAGTTATTATAGTTGGATATGGTGTTGAAGATGGAGAAGAATATTTAATTATGAGAAATTCTTGGGGTAAGTGGGGAGAATATGATGATGGATATATGAAAATATCTACTGAAACACCATTATGTGGTATAGGTGAAATAGTTGAAAATTATAGTCCATCAAATTATATTATTTATGCTGGAAATTGTATTCTTGATAGAAATTGTGCCTCTTGTAATAGCAAAACTTTGGTATGCTCTGAATGTAAAGAAGGAACTACCATGGATAGTCGTGGTATGTGTTTAGATAATTCTTATCCTTCAATTCCAGAAGATGCTGTTGCACCAGAAGAACCTAATCCTGACCCTGATCGTCTTGAAGACCCACCAGCAGAAGACTCTGTTAATAGTCTTGTTATTTTTTCAATTATTTCTTTGATTGTTCTTCTTATTTGATTTAATTGATGGTTATAAACCTTATTTTAAATTAATTTTATTTAATCAGAATGAGACTATTATTTCTTTTTGTTAAAATTATTCTTTTAAACTTTTAACTGCTTATGATTTTCATTTAATTTATTATTCAATATTTTTTTTCTGTATTTTTACCAAGAAGTTTAAATTATTTTTCATAAAATTGATTTATTTAATTCATTAAAACACTTATTTATTCATTATTGTTCAGCTATATTTTTATTTTATAAAAATCATAACATTGAAATAATTATAAAAGTAATTCAAACATTACTAAATTAAATTGTTGTCTTTGTTTGTTGGTTTTATGTTATTAATTTAAAAAAACTTTTTCATGAATAAACAAATAATTAAGTTAAAAATCTAACCATTATATTTAATTATCTTAAAATGACAAACTTGATTCTTTCATTCATTTTTCATAATTTATTCATTATTTAAAAAATAAGATAATAACAAAAAGAAAAAACAGAGGATAAAAAAAAACAGGTTTATTCATAAAAATTACCAGTATTTTATAATAAAATCTATAAAAAAATACTTTTGTACTGGAAAAAAAGAGTATAAATAAAAAATTATTAATTTAATTCTTACAAAAGAAGCATAACAGTAGCTAAGAGTAACATCATTGTAAGACTAGCACCTGAGTCAAAGGAACAAAGGGCTATAGCATAAGCACTATAATCTTGAGCTGTTAATTGATTGCACTTATCACAGGGAACAATGGTTCTTGCTGTTGGATTTCCTGAACAACCACGTCCTTCATACTTTAATCTAACAACAGCTTTTCCAACATTTTCTTCATCAGTAGTAATTACTTTATAAGAAACAGTATTATCTATATCATCTTGTAAATCAACATGATCATAACAAGACCCAGGTTCTCTATAATTATTTGATACATGTTGATTATAATCAACACAATCTGGAGTAAATGTAAAGACAATATTCACAAAAAAGTCATCAAATTTTGAGTCTGTAAATGAATAATAAGAATCAGTATTATCTGTTTTTACAACAACAACTTTATCACCATTATCATTTGTACTATATTCACTCTTTGTACAATTTGTAGAATAATAATCTCTTTCTTCATAATCATCACCATTCTTAACTATCTTATAAGAATAACAAGTATGACCATTATATTCAAATGGTATAAATAAAAGATAACAATGATCTTCTTCAATATATTGGTAACTTCCATCATCATATCGATGATAAATTATTGTTCCTGATGATTCAGAAGATAAAGAAAATGCAATTAATGCAATAAATATTATTAAAGACATCTTCTTGAATATATAGACTCTTTCTATCTTAGTTCAAACCCTTTTTAAATATAGAAAGACATGAAAATTTGATTTAATTACTTTCTATAAATAAATAAAACCGATTTTTTTTTTCACTTGGAACGAAAAAAATGTATAATTATGACACAAATTAAAGAAAATAATTTGATTTATTACTAATAATAAAAATACTAAATTTTTTTTAGTAACACTTATATATATTTATATTTCTTTAACAATCGAATTTTATCATTCCTTTAATTATAATTTATTAAATAAATTTGAGTCAGGAATTATCTTACAAATTCAACCCTCTTTTAAAAGAATAAAAATGACATATCTATTTTTCTTATTTTTTTAATAGACTGACTTGTTTTATTATTATATTTCTGATAATTTATTTATATAACTTATCTTTGACATATGAAGAGAAATTGGTTAGAAATGTTATGTTGTCTGTTTGTATTTTTGTTATTAAATTACTATCCAATCGAGTAAATTAAAAAAAATTAAATTTATGATATTTTTTATTCTTTCCTATTTTCATTATTTGAGATATTATAACATTAAAACTATTATCAAATTTATCATCAATTTATATACCCAACAGATTCTTATATAGATTATTTTATACCAAAACAAGAGATAATAATAATAAAAACTAAACTGAAATAAACAGAAGAAAAGAAAAGAAGTTATTAGTGATACTAAAAATATAAATTTATTTTATATTTAAATTATAATTATTATATTATTCTGTCTCACTAACTCTTATTTTTTTTACAACACCTAATACTCCAAACTAACAACGTTATTATACTTTCTTATACAAGTGAATAAATAAATACAATGCATTCAAATTTTGGTTACATTGTTTAAACAAATTAGAATATTAACATAGTCAATACAAAACTGATGGTTAGTATAAGTTAACATAACATATATTTAGTACTTTGTTATTCTTTTTGTAGAAAAGAAAAATAAATTATTAAATAAATGAAAATAAAATGAATTGAATTTTCCAAGTTATTTTTCAATACTTAAATAAACTTATCAAAAACCACTTTAAATTAATTGTATTTCAATCTAATTTAGCTTTTGAATAAAGTTCTGGGAGTTTATGCCAAAGATTATCGTCAAGATAAATCAATGTATAGAATCCAAGAGTAATAAGATAAATATGTGGGAATTGAGCGTTATGAAGAATTGCGACAATAACAAAAATTATTGAGAAAGTAATAGTATTTTGGAGGAGTGTTTTTGGATTAGCGTAAATCTTAATAGTATGCTTTTGCCAGAAATAAACGACGATATACAAGTAAACATATGATATTAAAACACATGCCAAATAGGAAAAAATAAATGCACCAACTATTCCATATTGATTAAATCCTTTAGAATAATAACCTAAAATTCCTGATGTATTAAAGAAAATTATACTAATACCTGAAAGAAGTCTAAAGGATTTAGAATTCATATTGGCATTAAGAATAATAAATCCAATAAGAAAATGACTTAATAAAACATATATTTTTGTATCAAGAGAATTTCCAATTTGTCCAAAGTATAATAACATAAGGTTGCTTGATATTGTTGCATATAATGGACTTAAAAAATATGAATAAGGTCTTAATTTGTTAAACACATCTGAAGTTATTAATTGATTGTAAAAAGAGGAAGATAAATAGATGGCTATATTCACAATAGGCATAGAAAGATATTGGTCAAGAAAGGCTGGTGGTTGGAAAAGGCTCATCAATAATGAACTAAAAATTAACTGACTTTAATAAATAGTACTTAAAATTATAACGAGAAACTATTTGTAGACTTTTATAATTAATATTTATGATAAATAACAAAAAAATTATTTATATAGTTCAATTAACTATATTAATCTATTTATTTATTATTGTAGAATTTTTATTTCATTTTTTATTTAATTATTTCTGTTTTTATCATTAAATATATTTCTGTTATTATTTCATAAATGTTTTTTTACTTTCAGTATTTATTCTTTTCCTTTAATCAGCAACATCACTTCTCCATTTAACCTTACTCCCTTTCTTAACTTAAATTTGGAAAAAAAAAGAGTAATAGAATAATCAAATCAAAAAAAATATTTTTTTTATTGAAATAAATGAAAATTCTTATATTTCTCATATCTAAGTCTTGTTATTTTTATTAAAAAGCAGTTAATATATTTATAAAAGGAAGAAAGAATGGTGTTGGTTTTAATTTATTCAATAAAGTTACAAAATAATTGTGTAAATTAAAAAGTAACAGAAAATGAAAACCTAACTCATTTCAATATGCTAACCATCACAGGTTAAAGTAAAGAAAAAGATTCAATTTAAAATAAAATAGTGTTATGTTTCATTGTGGATTAAAAGAGTGAAACTGATTAAATAATGAGAAAAATAGGAATAAAGAAAATGTAAATCAATGAAAGTAATAAGAAGAGAATGTCAAAAGAAGAAAGATTATAAGTAATTGAAATTATTAAAGAAGGATAGAGAAAAGAAAAAAAGATTGAGAGAGTTAAAGAGAATAAAAGAATCAATAACGAGATAAATAAGAATAAAAGAAGATAAAAGAGAAAAAGAAATAAAAAGACATAAAAAGAAATATTTAAGAAGAATAGAATCTACAAAATTTAGAGTCATTTGAATAAACTTTTTCAAAATAAGAGTTTTGGTTTTGTGTTACTTTTGAACAATTCAATGAGAAAAATAATATTCTAAAATGAAGTAATTATATCATGAATTGAACTTTGAATCATTTAAAGAAAAAAAAAAGAAAAAAGAAGATAGAATAATGAAGAGAAGAATTAAATAAAAGAAATAGGAATGATGGAAGATAGAAAGATTGAAGAAAAAGAAATAAGAAAAATAAAAAAGAAGAAAGAAATAAAAAAAAGAAAAACTATAAAATATAAATAATGATAATTCTGTTTTTATTCATCGGATTATCTGTTGGAGTAGATTTTAATATCAATATTAGATTTTCAAAAGAAGATGAAAATAAATTTATAAAGTTTGCAAAAAATATTACACAAGAAGCATCAATTACTAATCAAATTGACTTTACAAAATGTGCACCACATATAACATTATATCTTACTAAATTTCAAGAAACAAGTATTCCAATTGTTGTAGAAAAGATTGCCGAGGCAGTTAAAGACTTACGAGGATGTATTATTAATATGGATAAACCATATGCAAGTGGAAAATATTTTATGTTCCGAGCAACAAATACACCATGTCTTCAAAAACTTTCAGATCAAATTACCCTTTTTACTTCACCATTTAGAGATACGAATTATACATGTCCAAGTTGGGTTGATACTCTTCCAGAAGAAGAAAAGAATAAAAAGAAGAAGTATTGTGATAGTTATGGATCACCAAATGTTTTTGAAGGATTTGATCCACACGTTACATTAGTTTATAGTGATAGTGAAGATTTAACAAAACTTGAGAAATATACATATCCTAAAATAACACTTACATCAGTTAAAGTAAGTATGACTATTTGTGGATCATATGGTACTGTTATTCGAGGAAGTGAAAAGATATTTTCATATTTGTATGAACCTCTTCTCACATTTTAATTTAAACCTTTTTTTTTTATTAATTATCTTCAATTGACTAAAGAAATTCAATTAATAAAATAAAAAATATTCATTTATTCAATTCATATTTCTTTTATATAAATTAATTAAATGATTCAAATAAATACTTTAATCATTTTATTCAAATACATTTGACAATCAATAAGTTTAAAAGATAAACATAAAAGTAAAACATGAAATTGTTTAATTGACTTAATCTTCTTTCTTTTTCTCTTCTTTATCTTCTTTATCTTCTTTCTTTTCTTTCTTTTCTTTCTCCTTTTTGTATCTTCTCATTGAAGGATAGAAATTCCATAACGCAAAGATATTTGATAGAATTACTATTATAGCATTAATACTTCCAAACAGTAATTTCATCATTATACTCATACGAATAATTGGTGTAATGTGAAGCAATAGTCGTGAAATTTGATAGATAACTAAACTCATATTTAAATATACAAGTAAACGAGGTTTGTTAAATAAATATATTGCAACAATGTAAAATATAAGCCATGTAATTCCACCTATCCAATCTATAATTGATGATGGTTCATTTATCCAATACATTGAAATAAAATCATTTTCATGAACAAATATTGAATAATATGATAATGAAATTCCTGTTAATAACAAAAAACATCCTCGATACTTCATTTGAAATCCAATAACTCCCATTAATGTAATTAATGTCGCTCCAACTAATTTGGTTGATAATACTATTTCTTTTGCTTGTTCTGTAAAATATCCTCCAATTATTACTATAATTTCTTGAAGATGAATAATTCCAATAATCCCACTTGCTAATCCAATTAATATATTTGATATTCGAACTTCATTAATTTGATTTTTATATTCAACTGTGGTATGGCTTTTTTGTTCTTCCATTTGTATTTCTTAATTCGTTTTTTTTTTTTAGTTTTTCCTTTTCATTTCTTTTTTATTCACTTTAATGATGACAATAAACAAAAATTAATCAAATGTGATTGAATTTGGTTTGAGAAAAGCATCACCAGAACGATATTCAACTAAATAAATTTTCATTGACTTACTCATTTGAACATAGTCTTGTTTTTATATTACTCTTATTAGTTAATTCATTACTACTTTAAAGAAAAATAGAAAAATATTAAATGCTCTTTGTTGTTATTCATTTCTTCCATTCTAAACAAATCATTCACTTTTTTTGTTCTTCAGTTTTCTTTTAGTATTTTTGACTATTTGTCATATTAATTTGCTATGATAATTTGTTGAATGATAAATAACAATAGAAAGAATCATCTTGTAATATCTATCATTTTAATTTTACATACTCTAATACATTATTGAATGTATATATATTTTAATACTTCATTTACTACACACACATCAAATCAAATGATATATGTCATTGTTAATGTTAAAAGTATTTCAATGAATATATTATCAATTGATGATTCACAAAATCATATGTCTTCTTTATATCATCGAATATTTCATTTTTTCTTTTCTTTTTTATCTCATATTTCTTTACACCATATTTGATTCTTATTTATTTGATGTTCAACATCATTTATTTTTAATTAATGTGCTATTTTAGGTTAATGATAGAAATGAATATCATCATTGTCACATTCAAACAACTTATTTGTCTATAATTTTCTTTTGATTTAGAGTCACCACTATTGTAAATTAATGTTGTATTTCCAAGTATTATTTGTATGGGGATATTTTCATTATAATCCGTCTATGATTAAAATAAAACAAAGAAATTCTCTTGAGAAACAATTATTTGTTTCAAATATTGTTATTTTATTAACACTATGTTTTTTTCATGCATTGTTTCTTTTTATTGGATGTATGTTTTTTCTTTTATTATTATAACTCTAATATTATTACTTCTCTTTTTTATTATTCTTTTATTCTATTTCTTATCATTTTCTATTTCTTTCACATCCTTTTCATTAATTTAATTGTTTCATTGATATTGGGATGTTCTATATCTTCATTTTCTTTTTCTTTATTTCTCTTCCTTTTTCTTATTTTATTTTTGTATCTTCTTTATTCATTCTATTCTCTCCTTCATATTGTTTAATTATTCTATTTGTTTAATTTCTTCTTTTATAATATTACAACATATTCTTTGTTGTAATATCTATTTCTCATTATTCTTTTATTTCTGGTGTGGGGTTTGTTAATTAATAATTCTTTTGATTTATTAGACATTCTTCTTATACTTTTAATTTCATCATGTTTATATTTCAGAAATTATTTTCATGTTATTTGTAGATACAATATCTTATTTTATATATTTCTTTTTTAATATCTTCGATATTCTCACTTTCTTCGTTTCTTTAATTATTTATTTTATTACATTTGTTTTGATTGAAGTAATAATTAATAGGTATTATCTTATTTCTTGTTCTTCTTCTATATACTTTTCTTCTTCTTTTCTCTATTTTCTTCATTCCTTTTTGGTTTTTCTTTTATTATTATATCTTTTCATTTTTCTTGTTTATTCTTATAATAATAATGATTAAACATTCTATCTGCATTATGATATTTGTAGTTATACTAATTACTTTTATTTTTATTATAATTATGTTTAAATGAGAATTAATGTTATGACATTTATAATTATGATAATTAGTAATAATATGGTTATTGTTATTATTTTATGATAATGAATATAATGATTATATTAATGATAATGTCATCTAAATCTTTTTGTTGGTGTGAATTATTTCTTTGTGATTTTCATGACATTCATGTGATATAATATTGTAGAAATGTTGTAAAGAATAATAAATGAAGAAGTGAAAAGAATAAGAATAAATCAGTTATGATTAGTATATTGCTTAGAATTTCATCATATCGAATAATGAATGATTCATTTTGTTCATCTTGTTTTATTTCTTTTGTTTTATTGGTTTTCAAACATCATTTAAATTAAATATTCTTCGTGTAATCTTTTATTTGATTATTATTTTAATGTGTATTAAACCGATTCATTCTTTATATTGATATTTTAAGAACAGTATATCAATAGTGTTTTGTTTCTTCTTTAACAACAACCATTTATCAAACACTTTTTGATAAAATCAGTATATGTTTATTTATAATAATCATTATTAAATATAATGCAATTTTGTTAATTAGTACTTCAATAA